GAACTCTTCCCTTTACCTTAGAAGGGCGGGAGGGGGGGAGGAAAGGGGTCGCGCGCCCTGCCCCCGTTTGGGGGGGGGGGTTAAAAAGACGCAGGCTAAGAGAGTGGGGACTATGGCAACCAGGCGGCGGGGGGGGGGGTTGAAAACCTTTCTCTCCCCCCGCCCAAGGGCGAGAGGGAAGGCGGACCGGGGTCGCCTCGTCCTCCTTCCTGCCTCTTCTCAGTCCCCCTTCGCGTCCGTCCCGGCCGCCGCCATTTTCTTCGCCCTCCTCCGCCCGCCCCTCTTCCCCTTCCCCCGGGCGCTTTGATGACGTCAGCGGAGGAGCGCAGGAAAACCGAACGGCAGGCGAAAAGGATCCACTAACTGAGAACAGTGACCATCATGATATCAAGTTCAGCATTCACTTTAGGCCCCCGTGGCACGGAGCCAACCCAGCACTAAGTGCATACTTCCGGTTCCTATTTAATCTTTAGGGGAAGGAGGGGTGGTTTTTTTAAAAAAGCTCCTCCCTAAAACCACCGCCTTTAGAGGAAATGTAGCAAAATAATTTTTCAATTAAGCTTTTTGTGTGTGTCTCTTTAAGGGGGGGGAAAGAAAAATCCAACCGATGCAGCTGTTGATTTTCACTCTCCTCTACTTCTGCCTCTGTCTACACCTGTTGATATTCTGCCTTAAAGACTCACAATTTTTATTGCAGATTTAGAATCCAGTGGCACCTTTAAGACCAACAAAGGTTTATTCAAGGTATGAGCTTTCGTGTGCATGCACACTTGCAGCGTGAGCTTTTGTGAGTGAGAATCCCGAAAGCTCCCGCTGGAATAAAAACTGTGAGTCTTTAAGGTGCTTCTGGACTTTGATTCATCCTCTTGATCAATCAGTTTGGCTTTGCTTGTATTGCTGCCATCTTTCTGCGTCTCCTGCTAAATCCAGTTAAACACGAAAAATTAATAACCATTATGCATTTTAAACACAATTTGGAAAGAGACGGCATGAAGGCGAGAATTCTTTCTGTCTTAAAGCTCCTCCTCCAAGTCTAGATGCAGATCTGCAATCCCTTCCCATCATGCACCGCAAAACAATTCCCCTTGTCCACTTTCCAAAATTTCACAAATTTCCCTTCGAAATTACAATAAATGAAATGAAAAAATACCCAGTCACGATTGTCTCTGACCCTTAATGACACTAAAAACAATTTGAAAGAGAACAAAATTTTAAACAGTCACCCTAACTTACTTTTCTGATATCTTTTAAGGGTTTATATACTCAGAGTGAGGCAGAATAATTTGTGCTCGCTTCGGCAGCACATATACTAAAATTGGAACGATACAGAGAAGATTAGCATGGCCCCTGCGCAAGGATGACACGCAAATTCGTGAAGCGTTCCATATTTTGTAAAATATAATACTTTTAATGTGTCCATGTATTTTTAACATGCTGCTATATAGACAGACCTTTACCTTTTTATATACACACACATATATATACAAGACACATAAAAAGGTCTTCTGACAAATGCTTTGAACACCTTGATATACTTTCATATTTTGCAATCTAATATATGTTTAAATCAAAATATATGCTTTAAACACGTTGCGATATACTGATATACTTTTTGGGAAAAGCAAAGGCAAGGTGTTCACGGATCCTCCTTAAAGGGTTGCCAACCTCCAGGTGGGGACTGGAGTTCTCCCAGAATTACAGTTCATTTCCAGACTACAGAAATCAGCTATGCTGGGGGAAATTGGCAACTTTAGAGAGCAAACTCTATGGTATACTGAGGTGGGTAGCCATGTTGGTCTCAAGCAGCAGAGCAAAGTTTGAATCCAATGGCACCTTTAAAACCAACAAAGTTTTATTCTGGGTATCAGCTTTTGTGTGCTCACAAGCTTCTTCAGATACACTGAAACAGAAGTCACCAACCGTTACATATAAAGTAGAGGGTGAAGAGGGTGTTGCCAGGAATGGCCAATTAAAGTCAACATGCATAAGTAACTGAGCAGTAAATATAGCTAAAACTGGATGAAGGCAATTCGTAAGACCCATTAATAGCAGCAGATTAGTGTAGAGCAAATTAGCATACAGCATAATAAAGGAGTTTACAAACAGATGTGAGAACTGGATAATGTCAGCATGTGTGGTGAGATAGAAAACCAATATCTCTATTAAGTTCTGGGGGTTCTGTTGTCCTGAGTGTTGTGATAACTTGTAACTCAGCAATCTCCCATTGTAGTCTGTTTTTGAAGTTCCTTTGCAATAAAACAACTACTTTGAGGTCCCCCACTGAATGTCTTGGAAGACTGGAATGTTCTCCTATAGGTTTCTCAGTTTTGTGATTTTTGAAGTCAGATTTGTGGTGCTAGCTGGAGATCTCCTGGGATTACAATTGATCTCCAGGTGACAGAGATCAGCTCCCCTGGAGAAAATGGCAGCTTTAGAAGGTGGACTCCATGGCATTAGACCCCACTGAAATCCCTCCCCTCCCCTCCCCAAATGCCACCCTCCTCAGCAGGGCCAGTGCCAGGCTTTTTTGCACACTAGGCAAGGCTAACTACTTGCACCCCCACACACACTGCTAACCAATTTTCAAAACCAGATAAATTGTAAGAAAAATGAAAAGCAGAAAACTTAAAAATGCTATTTTTAAAAAAAACACGTGAGAATAAGTAATACAACAATCTTTGATTTTCTTTCTCAAACAGGAAACAGTTTTAGCACACAGATCACAAATCATTTTGAATAATCCTGTGAACCGAGAG